GCTGATAATCGTCATTTAGAAACTGTAATTAATTACATTCGTCAAGTTTTTTGGAAAAAAAAACACAATAACAACAGAGTTTTGGCAATACTAGTTGTTAAATTCTCCACACAATGGCTTTTTGCCTTTCATTTTCCTGAAATTTTATTGTTTACTTTAAACTAATATTGAATTCTGATTTGTTGTTTTGTTTTACTGTCCCATTCTCAATGGCTGAGAAAAAGATGCGATTTAGAGCAAAAAATAGTGCGATTCGTGAATAAATCGCACCATCGAGAGCCAATCAGATTGCAAGGATAGCCAGTGATTTCAAAATGGATTTAATAAATGCAGTAACATGTTTGACTAATTCTTTTCAATATTTTCTAGACCTGTCAGTCCTGTGACATTAAATGGTGGTTTCAGAATGCCGTCATGGTAAGTCAATATGTACATGGATGTACATGTAGACTGGCCTTAACTCAAGCTTTTTTAGCCTTCTGGCTCCAGTGGCTGTTAACAGCCTATACAGTAATTTCTTTATATTGCTAATTACCATGTTTGAGGTGTAACAATTTGTTGTCAACTACAGTTTCCTTCCAGCTTTTTGTCCAGTTAACCCATAGACATTATATATGCATCTTGCTGGAGAGAGGCACTACCAATAGTTAGATGTTTTTTTTTTTAAAACAGTTTTAATTCATAATTCAGTGATGCTTGTCTCTAAGCTTTAGTTACATGTATTTTTTCCATTGGCAGTGTATTCTGATCAGTGAAAAAGCTCAATAATGAGGTCACACATACATGCACATGTAATTTACTTCTGCACAAGTGTAGCTTGATGTTTGAATCAATAGTAGGCTAAATTCAGGTGGTGCATTCAATTTGTTGTGCTACCCAACTTTGGCCTGATGTTGATTCAAACCATGAGCTAGAGTTGTACTGGCATCAAACTTAATTGATCAATAATTTAGTTCAACATGACAATAGTACTACTATATCGTGACATTTGAACTGGGCCTTACAAACAGATAAAGTTCTGTATTTGTAAAAAGAGGACACGTAATCTGGTTTGACACTAAACATTTTAGTTAATGAAGGACATTCCCAAAATCAGAGGTTTATTTTATTGATACTTTATCAACACCACTGAGTGATCAGTTGACAAAGAATGTATCTATATACAATCATGTAATCTTCAGATTGGGCTTTTTTTTAAACAGTGACCTTGTTTATTTATTATCTTGTTTCAGGTTTGATATAAAATCCCTTACATTCCAAGGGGAACAAGATGAAACAGGAATCAAGGATGCTGCTGCAAACAGTGAGTGTCCAATGCAATGTGCATGTGGAATTTAGTTGAGGCACATTTCACTTTTTTGTACACGTAAACCATCCATACACGTTACTAACAGTATAAATTGTCAATTTTGTCATGCATCTGACCACTGAAATGTCACGCAACTGACCACTGAAATGCACTGGCCCATTAGGCAACTGGATTTCAATTTTTTTTCCTGCCCTGCATAGAAATGCATTTTGCCTTATCAGTGAAAATCCACTGTAAATGATAAAAATGTTATAATTTCTTGCCCAAGAATACAACACAAACAAATCCAGGTACAGTGTAACTAAGGCTTAATCTGAGACAACTCTATCTGGGCCCATGGAACTACTGGTAATCAAATTCAAGAATTCACAATAGACAACGTTGAATTTATACTAAAGGTACTGTACATTTTTTTTCAACCAGGCAAAAAGAGAAGTAAATACACAATGTATTGAATGACTGATACAGAAAGTTCTGTATCTTTTTTCGTTTACAGTATTATTTTGTTTTCACTATTCCTTTGCAGTACGATCAATAATTGAAGATGAGATTAAAACTGGGATACCATCAGATCGAATTGTTTTAGGTATCTAACATACAGGAGTGTCTATGTTGTAGGTCAAAACGAAATTCAAGTCAAAATGATTTTAACCTAGTTTGATTCCCAATTTCCTTTGTCTTCTAACTGTAATAATTAGGGTTAGAGGACAAAGGAATTTCATTTTAACCTGAATTTTATTTTGACCTACAACATATATGTTACCCTGGAGTTTTAGTAAGGCTCAGTTCATTTTAAAACACCATACTATTACATACCAGTAACATGTTGTTGGACTTGTGTTCCACAAGGAATGAAGGAGATATAACATGCCCATTTGCGTGGAACTTTGAAAAAGAGCACATGGGAAAGTCATTTGTTAAATGTTCTTCTCAAACTTACTAATGATTTGTCGAGTTTACAGTGTAAACAGAGGAAATCATAACCATGGATAGTGTTTGGATATCTGGCCTACATGTAAATAAGCATAGATTTTTATGATTTTAGAATGTGGTTTCAATTGAAAAGATACATCAATCACTTCAGACAGTGTTTGATCACATCACCAGAACACCTTGGAGTTCGTCAAAAACACTGTGCTACGCTCTTCTTGGTATTTGAAAATATCGTCAAACACAGTCTTTGTGGGAAATATTATTAATGGCATCACTGTTAACACATTGCCCTCTGGCCTCACTAGGTGGTTTTTCACAAGGAGGTGCTCTTGCATTATATACTGCTCTGACCATGGAGAAACCTCTAGCTGGAATCTTAGCACTGAGTTCATGGTTGCCTCTTCACAAGTCTTTTCCAGAGGTAAGGTGCTAAACTTCATTTCAACCATTTTTCTTTGTGTGAGTGTTTTACTGAATGATGCAAAAACGAAAAGGAGAAAAGAGAACCCCTGCAGTAAACAGGGTTGCCAAAGTTCAAGAAATAGTCAGGGTAAAAAATCTTCAAGGTCAGGGAAAAGTCAGGGAATTTTATTTTGAGTCAGGAAAAATTGACATTGTAAATAATTTAACATGGCTGTTTTAATTACAATTGAAGACTGGAGGAAACATTCAGGGCACGCCGATCCTAGCGATATTTTTTCTTAATGAAGAGCGAAAACTTGTTGCAAACTTATCAGTCTTAATAAACGTGTGGAAAGGACGGCTCTAAGTTGATGCCAGAAGCTGCTATTAGATCTGACATTTTGTGTATATTTGTTCAGGGAAATTTGATTTTAATCAGGGAAAAGTCAGGGAAAAGTGATGTTTGTGGCAACCTTGTACAGTAAAAGTGCTACTCAGTAGAATATTGCACACCAAGGTTTCATCCAGACTCTGATTGTATTTTATATCTAGGGTACCACATGAAAGTACAGTACATTAACAGTCCAGTAACTTCCATTGAATGACACAAGCAAGAGTGTCATCCACAAACCTGAAAACTTCTGCCAATGAATTTCAGTGCAACATACTAAATCACTAAAGGACTGCAAAAGACCTGGGAAGACCAAACACATTCTAATTAAAATTCATTGTCCAAGACCAGTCAGTCATTTGCTTAAACTGCATTATTATCACACTCTTATAAAGTAACTTCTAGGTTCAAACTTGCTGAAATGGGTGATCATTACTTAATTTCAGGCCATCAAAGGAAACAAAGACACGAAAATACTACAGTGTCATGGTGAGTCAAACGAATATTATGCGAGTGTTTCCACAGCTTTTTTGAGTTCTCCCAAACTTTCATGAGTGTTTCCTTAACTCTCAAGAAACATGATGAAAATGTTTTCCATCCTTTTCAGAAAACAGCCCAAAGAAAATAATGAACAACATGATTATGACAACCTCTCTGCGTTTTTATTGAGTTTTAGTATAAATCTACTAGCGTTCTATCACAATGCTGCTCTCGATTGGCTATGCTACTCACTATCTATTCTGTTGTAGATAGTGAGTAGTGTAGCAGCATTCGCAAGGGGCCACTTCTTTGCATTTTCGAAGTGTCTTTGAAGACAATTAAAATTAAATTTTTGAACGACTAGTAGATTTGTACTAAAACAATAATGTTAGATTATTCACTCACAATTTCTATGTGTGATAGTTGACTCGGGCTTCGCCCTCGTCAACTATGATGTGACAGAAATCTCAAGCTCATAATCTAACTGTTTAATAGAAATACAACTTTAACCAATCAGCACCCATGGTATTTTCTTTGGGCTACATGTATTTTCTAATAGTAACTATGTGATGATTTTGTAATTTGCAGGGGATATTGATCCAGTTGTAAATTTTACGCTTGGGCAGATGACAGCCGATGTTTTATCATCATTTTGTTCAAATCTCGAGTTTAAAACATATCAAGGATTAGGTCACTCATCCAGTCCACAGGTAAGTTCAGCTTGAGAGCTGGCTTGCTAGTTTGAGTTTTGTACAGATGGCAAGGCCAGAAGATACAATCATGTGTGATATTCTCCCACAGGGCCCCCTACATCAGATCAGAAAACAAAGACAAATTTTGCCTTTATCAGCTATGTGTTTAATTACCAAAGAAATTCGTCCAATTAATGACATGTGTTTTGTGGTCCAACTTTTGACTACATTCTTGAGTCGTACTTGTAGAATAATCCAGTATGTAATTCACATGCGGAAATGGCACCCAAAATATTCTGTTTCTCTCTCTGCCCCCATCACCCTCCCTCCATCTTGCCTCTTGCCTCTTGCCACAAAACAGCTCACAGCAAAAAGCGAGTTGTGGAAAATGAGTGACTGATTTTTTTGCTCAAATTTCAGGAGATGAACGATGTGAAGGAGTGGCTAAAGAAAGTATTGCCATAAACAGCTTAACTTAGTGAAGCTTCTTTTTTATGACTGTGTTATGGTAAAATGCCCTTTCTATTAGGTTCAATAGTCTTTTGTCAAATTGAACACCACTGGTCCATGGAGATCAAATAAGTTTTTCTTGAAAATGGTCCCCCTTGGACATTCCCATGCTCTTGAAAAGTACAATTAAGCATCTGTTCTCCTTGGTCCTTGGTAATGTACCCCTGTTCCCTGAAAATACCCCCCCCCCCTTCCACCACCACCACCACTACCAAGAAAAAAAAAACAATATAACTAAATAAATAAAGCACCATATACCCATGTTCCCTGAAAATAGTCACCCACATCCCCATTTTGAAGTGTATGTGGTGATCCTGGTGTTAGATTTTGCTCCTAAAAGAATGCTCTAAAAACCTGTTCCCAAAACCCAAGATTCTACCTTTCTTAATATTACTATTTGTAGCACTATTATGAATATTATTTCTAAATTGTTTGGTGATATAGGGCTTAAGCACAATTGTGCTGCCACCAGTATTGGTCCTGAGTTGTTAAAAAAATGCAATTATTACCACTGACTGAATTGAAATCATAAACCTATAACTTACCAGAAGTTTTGTGTAGTAGCATACATGTTATCACATAAGATTCTGGATTTACAATAAATAATGTAGCAGGTATCATACAATGGAAACAAGGGAGAAGTTTGTCTGTGTTTGGTAGTACTGCATGATTGTGTGGTGCAGCTTTAGGCTTTTCTTGAGTCTATAGGCTTGTAATGCTGGCACCTAATCTTTAACTGGTGTACCATTAACTGATTATTACACCCACCTGAATGGGATGTTAGTTTATTATCAATCAAGCAAGCAAGCACT